CTCTCACACTCACACACTGACACACACACTGACACACACACAGACACACACACAGACACACACACACACACACACACATCACGGAGCATCACGGAGGAGCCGCGCTGCCACTGGACACTGCTGCACCACCGTCTTGTGTGCTCCTTCCTCATCTTCGTGGAGAATATAAAACAACTCCGCGGGGTTCGGCTTTGCCCGGCCCTGCTGCTGCTGCTGCTGCTGCTGCTGCTGTTTGTGTCGGTGCTGCTGCTGCTGCTGCTGGTGCTCGCGGCAAAAAAATACAAATGGTCCGCTCGCCCGCCCGACCGGACCAAGCACAGCAGCAGAGCGTCCACATGACCATGCAACGACGACAAAAACAACAACAAAATCAACGAGGCTGTAGGACGCGAGAGTGTCAGCGGATTAGTCTCAATCGACTAAAGCAGTCGCCCAGTGCCCAGTCGCGTCGTCGTCGCAGCTTGGTGGTGGACCCCGCACCCCTACCCCCCTCTCCCCCTTTCCTCTCTCTCACTCTGTCCCTCGGGCCGGCAAGCCATCAGCTTCTACATCGGTATTCACCACTAGCAGCTACGACATGTCGTAAAAAAGTACCCGCCGCCGTCCCCGCGCAGCCTCACGCACACACACACACACACACACACACACACACACACAAGCCGCCGCCGACGTGTCGCACCCATGTGTGCCAGCAGGGGATGGTGGGGGTGGGATCAACAACACACTCGGGTGGTACTTAGTAACGCGGTGCGGGGGAGGGGGTGAGGGATTTAGCGACCCCCTCCTCCTCTTCCTCCCCCCTTCCCCTGCCGAGCCGCCGATCGGCCCCCGCCGTCGTATAAAAGGGGCGGATTGGTGGTGGTGGAGGGCAGGGGGGAAAGGGGGGGGGGCGATTATCAATACACCAGACGCGTTCATTTGGCCGCAGGCGAGTGTAGGCGGCCGGCGCGCCGGTGCCGCCACGCTCGCCCGGTGCCCTATCTGCCCTTTCCCGCCGCCCACCTACCAGAATTCACCCCCTACTGCCCCCGACCGCAGGGGGTTGTTGGTTGCTACCGCCCTCCTCAGCGCCCAGACATCCTCCTCCTCTCCTGCCCACGAGATGCAAATTACATCTGCGGCGAAGGGGGGCTCGGCTATGTGAAACGTGACGTCAAACGCTATATAATTAATAACTATGGACACGTTCAGTGCGGCGCGTCCACATTGTGGTCACGCTCTGCCGTTTTTCAAACCCCCCTCGCTGCACAGACATATGCTGTGGTGCGGAGCGTGACCACAATGTGGCTACGCCGTTTGACGTCACGTCCGAGCCCTTCGCCGCACTAAATGTAACGTTACATTTAGTGCGGCGAAGGGCTCGGACGTGACTCAACTCAGCACTCGTCTGACCCGACCCCAACTGAAATCCACACGATTCCTGTGGGTTGTAGGAATAGTGTTGGGCTTCAAAACGAGCCCAAGCGCAGGTCTGTAGCTCAAACGGTTCAAAAGTTATGGGGCTTCAAAGTTTTAGCAATTTTAAGAAATCTAGTAAAATAATGAAATCTATTAAAATCGAGGATCCTAAAGTATTCAAGATAGGAGGATGTACTTGTACTTAATCGAAAGGGCACATATAGTCTGAGTTTAAAAATAAATAAAAAAAAATTTGACTCACTATGGGGTCATTTTGGCTAGGGTTAAAACATTCAAAAATTTGTATCTCAAAACACGCAGACCTAGATTTTTGATTTTATTGTCCCAACTTCATCATTTGGATGAGTACTAACTACAAAAAAAATGGGGACCTTGGTATTTGAATACAGGGTTAGTTCTGGGCAAAATAAGAGTAAAAATAATGACATTTTCCTCAAATTGACCAAAAATAGTAATAGTTTGACA